ATACTTTTGAAACCTGGTTCCGGAAATGCGAAGAATTTTTCAAGGTCGGCCCCCAGAAAAGTTGATGACGCCTCCAAGTTCAAAATACTCTTAAACAAACTTGGCACTGTGATACTTTTACCAAATTTAAAAAACTGATAACCCTGTCACTAGACCCTAAAGAGCTTCACTAACTATTCCTTGAACTCCCGTCCACCAATGAGGCACTTTATTATGGAACGCCCAATATCTAGACTGAACAAGAATATAACGAACCTTATTGTTATTAGTGTGAATATAACCAAATTATACAACACATGCTTTATCCTCCCCCACAATTTATTGATTATAATTTAAGGCCCTCTGCTCCTAACCCTCACTTTCACATTCCCAATCTCCATAATGATTAAAACCACATTATTCTTCCTAAGTGTCCTGTCCTTTTAATTTTGTTTTTCGCAATGCAAGTAGACAGATAACTCATTAGTCTTATGGATGTTGACCAACTATGGCCGTTTATAAAAAGCTCAAATGTACTAAATTCTTGTGAGTTGCTCAATGTTTTATTTTTCTTACCCTGAAAATTTTACTATCTACTCTTTCATATCCTCTGGTTTGATACTAGTCCTTACCATATCTTAACCACATATAATCTGACATATCTCTTATAACTTTTACCATTAGTTATCTTCATAGTAGTATGATATATTAAATGGATGTCTAACGCATAATACAAATGCTTTTACCATCTGATTTGCTTGTGACATGGAACTAGTCGAGATGGTGTATTCCAACTATGGGCATTGATTAAAACAATATTCATACTGACCACAAACGCAAGAAAGCCGAACATCATAAAAGAAGGGAAGGTGGCGGTACTGTCCAGCAAACATGATGGTGGGGAGATAACTTCCACCCACACGCGTCTGTCGGAGAGAACATGTTAAATTACGGCTCCTTATGTCAAGTAGGGTGTCACCAACCAAAGGTATTGATGCGAACCTATTTATACAAAATACCTCTTTGAATCGCGTTTAAAACGCCTAATTGGTTTTCTATTACAAGCAAACTTGATTATTCGCTAAAAAGGATGCCTACTCCATAACCCAAAATATCTAAAAAAGGGTTCAAATAGCTACGAAAAGAAGCGAGATAGCCATTTGTATATCAGAATACTGTTGTTAGCACTATATTTCATAATTACATATAATTCCATACTTTCAGCATTTTTCTGAACTACCTGCATTTATACAGTTCCTTATCCGCTCATACCTTGTTTGCAATTATTTTCTTTAACACATTAGTATGCTCTTGCTTAATAAGCACCTTAATAACAGACAAATAGACTAAATGGTCGCACCTTAACTATTCCTCCACGAATATTGTGTGCTCTGCTTTTCGTACTTCTTTTTTCTTGCACCTTTTTCAGCCCACTGGAGATACCCCAACAAAAACAGATATGGAACGGTGACTTCGTCCTGCACCATTATTAAAGCCTCAGATATTCCGGAGGGATATAAAGTTGAATCTTCTAAAAGCCCCTAACTTCTCATGTATTTATTCTCGACCATCAGCTGTATGTTGCAACGCTGCCTTCACAAAGTGCGCCAATTGTGATATTGACAGCATGTTTCTTACGAAATCCATTTACAGTCATATCTTATAAAATATCAACCCAGCTGAGTAATTTTCTACAGTGAAAATTGTAACTTCTGTAACAATTTGATCTTGCCTGTAAACCGGCATGCTTCACGTAACAAGTTGTTATTTGAGAATTAATTATTATCATTACGCGGAATTCAAAGACGGAAGGAAGTAAGTGTTCAAGGTCATACACTAAAACAGCAAGTACAATCGTTTTGTGATAAATGTGCAGATTGAGAAAATTAACAAAATAAATGCAAAAGTTATCAAAACTATTTTCAAAATAGGTTTATTAAGTCTATCCCCACATTTCCAAAGTTAGGTAAACTTGAAACACGGTATTTCCATGGTCAAAAATAGTAGCCTGCTGTCGCACGTTCATGCTGTAAGCGAAAAGTGATTTCTGCCCAAGAAATGTATGGTGCATAGACAAACAGCCCTCACCTCCATGCTAGTCGTGCGAAGGTTGGTATTATAAGAGATTCTGCCCAGATAATGAATATTCTTGCAGAAAATGTCGTAATGTCCATAAAGAAAAAAGCTGCGGAAAAAAGCCCATAAACAACATCCCTCGAAATTCTACTTCAAGAAATACAGATCTGGTGTATTAATTAACAAAATATCCGTACCACATAACTGAGCACGAGTTTACCGCCGAAGAAAACATGCAACCTTGGACATTGATAAACAGCGTGCTCGCCTTCAACATGACACAACATCTGATATTATTATTTTTATCGGCCCAGGAGTTTTGAGGATGATTGGGAGACCCGTAACGCATCCAACAACACAACTGGCACACAATGCATCTAGTGGGACGTTAAATGATGTTGGGAAAGTCCCCTGCGTTGTTTCTAAAGGTACTGTAACGACAAGTGTAACAGTATACCTTACTAAGTATCTATCACTCTACGTTTTGAGTTAGGTCTTATAGAGACACTTAAACTATCAGACCATTCTATTAAAGTGGAACCAGAAAAATGACGTGTTGCAAAGACATCACAACGTGTTTAAAGAAAAATCGAGAGAATTTACAGAGGCCAAGACATTGTTAACACTCAAACCTGGAGCATCTCCCGTCTTTCGACTTAAAAGACCCGTACCTTATGCAGCGCTACTTATTGTTGAACAAGAGTTAGATAGCCTGCAAAGAAGTGGAATTATAGAACCAGTGCATTTTTCCGTTAGGCAAGTTGAACTTTAGGGTCGGTCAGCACTCCAGTGGTTGTTTCAACGAAGAAACCTAGGTTGTCGAAGCCTAAGACGTCGGCCAGTCACCCGCCAGTAATCAACATGATTACAGCGGCAATTTTGATTGTTAAGGATCGTAAGGGCAGCCATAAATAGTGATTGTTAAAAAGCCCAATGGAAGTTTCCGGCGATGCACAGATTATTCGACTGGATTAAAGGAACCACTTGAAGACCATCAGTAACCTTTGCCGTTACCAGAAGACTCAATCGTGAAACTGATGGTGGGGAAGAATTTTGCAGAATTTGACCTATGTGAAGCTTATCTACAGATTCCAGGAGCTGAAGGGTGTAGGCAATACTTGACTGTAAACTTTCATAAAGGGTTGCTCCGATATGTCAGACTTCCGTTTGGAGTAAAGACTGTCCCTTCTATCTTCTAACAAGTTATGGATACAACATACAAGATACTCCTGACACGACGGCTTATCTCGGTTAAATACTAATCATGAGTACAGACTATGTTGACTTACAAAATGAAGGCGGATACGGTTCTCAGAAGCATAGCAGATTATAGGTTCAGATTACGTGCTGAAAAATATGATTTCTGCATGGGACAAGTCAGCTATTTGGGATTCACAATCCATAAAAAAAGGAAGAAAACATGATCCTGAAAATGTTGAGGCTATCAAGTCCGTGTCTCCACTGACTAATATATCAAATTTACGTTTGTTCTTGAGAATGGTTAGTCATAATGGTGTTTTTCCTCTAGATTTGCATAGCCTCCGTGCTCTTTTTATTGACTTACTGAAAAGGGGTGACAAATGGGTCTGATCAGCGGAATTACAATAAGCATTCCTAAAGCTTAAACGACTACTATCATCAAAACTTCTACCTACACACTATGAACCAGATCTTCCAATGATGGTCTCAGCAGGTGCGTCAAACTACGGAATTAGAGCGGAGATTTCACGTACCTACTCTGGCGGATTTGAGAAGGTAATCATTCACGCTGCACCATCGCTGACTACGGCAGAAAGGAACTACAGTCATATAGATAAAGAAGCCATCTCTATTATCTTCTCTGTAAAAGAGTTCCATAAGATGATATTTAGAAGAACTTTTACCATACTAAAAGACTATTAACCGCTACTGACAGTTTTGGGATCCAAGAACGTTATCCCTGTATATACAGTGAACTGTCTACAGCGACGCGCAACTACATTTCAAGAAAAAGTATCAACCAACAACGTATTTGGACATACAAATGCCCTCTCAAGTTTAAATGTCTCCTTGAAAAAAACAAGAAGTGATTACAGCTGCCGTAGACGTTGAGGCTGAGGTTCACACAGTTTTGGCAGACGCAGTTTCCGGACTGCCAGCCACATATGAAGCCATTAAAGAAGCTAGTGAGAAGGATAATGCGCTGAAGATTGTTCGCTTCTGTATACTCAAAAAATGGCCTTCATCTAAACTACATGAAGAATTCTTGTGATACTTTTGTCGGTGAGATTCATTGACAGTTGTCGACTCCTGCATTATGTTTTACCATCGTATTGTTATCCTCAGAGATCTTCGACAATAAATCTTTAAGCAGTTCCACTGTAAGCACCTGGGGATAAGTTAGTGAAGTCACCAGCTCGAGGCTACGCATATTGGTCGTCAATGGACTATGATATAGAACAAAAATGTCGCAGTTGTTGGTCCTGTCTAGGATCCTCAAAGAATCCGACTAAAGCAAGAATACAAACATGGCCAAAACAGAACGAACCTTCGCATATAATACACTCTGATTTCTCCCGTTCGAAACAAGGTAGGAATTATTTGGTTGTTGTTGATGCTTTGACAAAATGATCGCAAGTATTTAACATGCCAAAAACGACGTCAGAGAGTACAGCAAGACTGTCAGAATTTCTATCTTGTTTTTAGGTTCCAGAGATCCTCAGTCAAATTAGCAAGCAGAAAGATTTGTGGATACGATAAAAAGAGCTCTGGTCAAACGGGGAGGTTGGATATATAAGAACAGTTGATCACTTAGTTTCTAATGTCTATTGTGAAATTTATACTCAGCGATTTTTTGTAGCAACGAAATAAATATCACATATTTTTCTTTTTTGTCGGACTTTATATGTAGCCATTTTATATTGCATGTCTTGTTTTTCTGTACTAGTGGTAGAGTAAAGAATATATTTGTTTGGTTATACATAATATTACTTCACTACCGCGATTCTTGAAAAATAAACGTTGAATCAGCCGTCTATTCTTTTGCTTTAATGGCCACAGCCTTTGATTGAAGATTATAATAGTATTATAACATACTATAGGACTTCTCGCACTACGTTGGAGCTTTAGCCTGGATCATTACTGAATAATACCACCGGATTTAATCTTCTTCACTTTGTTGTTGGTGCTATCACGTTCAGAGGAACCTTGGTTAACCAAGTGAACTTATTTGTGGTTTTTATCTCAGAAAGCAGCTTACAAGTAACATTCACTTCATAACACTGTTACCATTTTGTTGCTCAACTTACCTTTTTATATTTTATCTGTAATTTGTTATCTTTTGCGTTACTCATAGACATACGCTTAGGTTTTTAATGTTAAATCTTTTGGTGTATTGTTAGTAACTTTACATATTGTTATATCTTGACTAAGCTCTTTTGCTGGGACCCACCACATGTTTTGCAGAGTTCTTATCCGGCAGTACCAGAAGGAAAGCCATTAGCTAAGTTTATGTTCGGAAGGAAATTCGGACAGTCTTCAACAGAATATTGCCACCCGTAGAGAAATAAATCCACGAGAGAGTATTGTATAGTCACTCGTAGCTTCCAGGTGTGTGAAAGGGTACTTGTCAAATCGTATCAAGGTGATAGGAAGTGGGAACCCGGTGTTATAGAACGTCGGATCGAAAGTGTACCGTACCTAATCCGAAGAAATGTCGGAACGTGAATAAGACACATAAATTAAATTCAGTGGGACGGCGGAAAATTGATCCCACAAAGCTGTCTCCTGTTTCAATCTCCTGTAGATTCATCTCGATAAAGCGTTTCAGGAGCGCGAATGTAGAGGAGGTAAGCTGTAACGGTATTAAAAGTCATTACATGTGACCTTACTAGTGCGGGTTTGTTTTTATTGTTGTAGGGCAACAAAGAGTAAACATATTAGGAGAAGAGGAGCAAGCCTCACGCGATCTGAACCTGCAGAACAATGAATAAAACTATTTTGTAATGTTTCCCTTTTTGTAATCGAACCACGTCTTTCACTTTTAAAAATATATCTGTTGTGCAAGTACACCGCGTCCTTACTTCAGAGGCATTTACTAGTCCTAACGTTTGTCTTATTTCAGATCTCCTGCTTCTTAGTATATACTAAGAATCTAAGTTTGAGATTTAACATTTACAAAATAGGGAGATTGGGTTTATTAAGCCTTTCTAGGCTTGTTCACAACATTTCGATACTTGTCTGACTACTTCGTGCGTTTTTTCCTTCATTCCTCTAGTTATTAGGACTGAGTTTATGAGATACACCCCTTCTCATTATATACAGGACTTTTTGTGGCTAGATCCTGTGTACTTTATTAACACTGAAACTAAAGATAGAGAAACTGGAACTGCTATATTTCTAACAGGTTGATCTCCACTTCTAATGGTTTTCATGATAACTATATATACCAATAAGTCACTACCTTAAAAACTTTTTGATTACTTGTAAATTAGTGTCAGTTTACATCCCATCTTCCATTGTAGACCAATGAAGCGTCCCGCTGATAATGTGGGAGACGACTGTACGTTAAGGCGTGCAATCTGCAAAGGTAAAGCACCAGTGGATGTTGAATGTGTTGCTAAAGTCAATTCAGCTTATGTTTATTATGAAGGCGATGATATTTACGATGTTATGCTAAATCAAGTAATAAAAAGTAGTTTTTTTAACCATAAAATGGATTATTTTAGACTAATGTTCAAAATAATAACAATAAATACTATATTATACAGCTTTTGAAGGATGAAAGTATAAATAATTACTCTGTCTGGTTTCGTTGGGGTCGAGTTGGGAAATCTGGTCAAAATAAACTTGAAACTTTTGGTTGTAATTTACAAGCTGCTAAGAATTGTTTTGAAAAAAAGTATATTGAGAAAAATTTTAAAGTTTTAAACGTATTTTAAAAAATAGATTTCTAGACAAAACACTAAATACGTGGGAAGAAAGAAGGGCTTTTATAAAACACAAAGGGAAGTATGATATGGTTGAAATGGATTATGGTGTACAGGTTGGTCTTTAGTATAGTTTTACATTTACCTCTAAGGATGAAAACGCAACTGCAAAGAAAAAGGTTAAAAAAATCAAATCACGACTTCCTGTTGCAGTTCAGGTAATTGTTTTGTTAATAGTTGCTCCATAATATTAACATTTCTGTAAACCTATTCATTATGAAAAATATGAACTATGGCTTATAAACGTACTCAGTACCATGAAAAAATTTGATTCAGGCTTTTTTGAGAGCTAAATGTGCTATCGGAGATTTCAAGTTTAGTCTCTTGGTTTAGAATGTAAACTCTTAACACTGACCAAAAGGGTAAACTAAAGCTTCACGTTTTGAGTACTCGGATTAACGCTTCCCGTAACATTAAAGTGGCTGTTAAGCCATTTTCTCAAACCTATGAATTTAGACAACTTAGTAGTTTAATGAAGATCAGTTTGTTAAAACAGTCACACCACTTGTATTAGATGCATGAGTGATAAATCTGCCACAGCTATGTGGTTCTCTGAAAAAAAACGTAGTATTAACCGAGCTCATTTCAACAAGTGTTGGACTCATATATCATTAAATAAAAACTCCATATAATGGAACAAACAAAATAAAAAGACCGTCATGCAAAGAATTAAATGTAAAACTTCATAGTGATAAAATTTGACAAATATTAAAAAGAAAATACAAGTTCAATAGATGTGCGGTCAGACGTACAGAAGAACTTGACACATGTTTGTACGTCTAGTTTACTTTCATATAAGGACAGAAATAATAAAGTAGCTAAAAATCACCACAGTCAGTCGGAAATGATGGTGCAGATAGTTGTGGCAAACCGGAAACCTGAAAAAATGCAGTCGAAAGGAGGTTAATAAAGTATGGAATAAGGTTTTTTATATTTGGAGGTAGATTGGGAATCTGCATCACTGCTAAGTCTTTTGAGACATTTCATGGGTTATATCCACCCGACAGACCGTATCCAAAAGTTGTAATTTCTCTTAACACCCCCAAAAATTAGTCAAATGTTTCATGGTCCAATTGCTGCTAAATTTTCGTTAATTTATACCTATATTACCAAGCATATGATTACTCGGTTGGTGTTGGCTAGACACATATAACATATTTTCTAACCTCAGTCGATCCAAATTCTCAACTTCAAACTGATATATTTTTTTATTTGGTAATGTTTATGTGACTGCTTTACTCGCTTGACTGTTTTGCCATACTTGAGCAATTGTTTGAGTAGGTAGCTGGAGGTCAGATAAACCAACCTTTTGACCCATCATTCCAATATTCTGGTTTTAGAACGAGTCGTTCTACGCTTTTTATCTGTTTGTCAACACTTTTCCATAACGCAGTTGGAAGTAGGTTTTACTCCTCGTAAACTTTTTTAAAAAGCAACTGTTTTGCGACTTAAGACTCTAAATAGGGTAGGACTTCTAGTGAAAAATGAGCTCCTAAACCAGATGATTATAATTAAGGAAAAGAGAAACATAATTCATACAGAAATGGTAGATGCTAGAAATAAACCCTTCCGTAGAAAGGACCATCATTTTCAGTACTGGTTACTATAGAGTTATTCATATTTTGTCATAATTCATGTAAAGTTTGCGTGCTAGGTTGCGTCACAAATCCGTATCAGGCGGTTTTCTTGGCGATGACCATTGATCACATTAAGGACATATAACCTTCCCCATCTGGGATCCCATGTCTATCACTTAAGGGTTTAATAATTTCCTTGAGTAATTCATATGCTTGTCGAGTCAGTTTTAGTTTTAGACGTTTGGTATCCCTCTCATTTGTAGAGACATTCCAGTTGAGAGGTTTCTCAAAAAAGGCTACAGCTGTGTGGTCCTCTGTATACCGTCTGTGTGAGAAGTATGCAGAAAGTACTTTGGTTAGTAATATATCCAGAGTTGTAGTGTCTTCTAGATGTCGACCAGTAGTAAATTGACCTAAACATCATGTCGGTATATGTAGTCCTTGGATATCTTCTAAAGCGTTTATAATCAAGATTTCTGAGAAAATCCATATTCATCATATGCTCTGCTTGTCTTATCAGCTTTTCCATGAATTTACTGTGTTCATTGTGTAATTCATTTTTAGGTACTTTTAAAATTAATATGTGATTTTAGTAACATGGAACAAGTTACTACTGAACTAAAATATGATACACGTCGGGCCCCTCTAGGAAAACTTAGTAAATCACAAATTCGTGCAGGTTATACAGCTTTGGATAAAATATCCCAAATGATTGATGCTTTGTCAACTTTAAGTCAAGAGTGTAATACTGAAACAGAAACTAAAGCAAGAGGCAGAGTAAGACGTGTCAAAACAAATGCGGGTGATAAACGTAAACTTGAGGAACAATTACTGTTGGCCTGTAACGATTTCTATACACGGATTCCTCATGATTTTGGGTAAGGGACGGTTAGCAAGAATACAAACTAAACTAATATGCTTTATGGTCTAAAGATTTTTTTAAGGCTTAATATCTCGTATATAATGCTCTTTAACTATTTTTCTCATACAGTAACGATATGCCTGTTTATTCGTGTTGTCACATGAGTGTTATTCTAGTGGATAAATTTGCACCTTTTTACCCTACGAAAGGGTATCGCAATTTTTTATTGTTCACACTAACAATAACATTTATCCACTGTACGATACGTTATTTACATAAGGTGGAACTGTTATATACTACGGAGAGTAGTACTGTTGTAGAAAACGAACCTAGTATTGTCTTTGTTTGGTTCTCTAAGGGATTTAACAAGGTTCGAGAGACTAATAATAGTGAAGCGCTTATTGTCTTGAGCAACCAAAATCTACCAGTTCGCAAAGTCTACGAGTTTTGGAAAACAGATCTTCTGCAATCCATCCTTGACACATCCACAGAAAGACATTGTCGTGATTTTTAAGCCGGCTAGTTTTCATGTGACATTTGCTATTCGTAGTACGACTTACACAATCTTAGCAATGTGTCAAACCACTGACTTATTGACAGGTATGAGCAGCCTAGTGTCCTTTGTCCTCCTAGACCTGTCAGTTGATTCCAGAACACCGATACCAGCTTCCACTATGCGAATCATTTATTTCAAACATAATTGGTTTATAAACCACTCAAACAGACCACATCACACCATAAAATAGGGAACGACATTTGTACAAGATCAATCAAAAATATGACTGTGAACGTAGGAGACTATAATCAATAAACTGAGTATAATTTAAGAATAGTAAATCGTATCATAGTAGTCCATGGGTCAAAATAAATCATATAATAAGAGGAATATAGATATACATAGTCGAGTTACTGAATAGTTATACAATAAGAGTGTATATAATATTAACAGATCTCAGAAGTTGCCTATAATTTTATCTTCACTAGAATATAATAAGCGTGTTCTATTCAAGCGGACGCGACTAATCATGGCTGATAATGTAACTACTGAACAAGACATTCCTAATTAATTGGTTGCGCTATGTGATCATCTCTATTTAAAAAGAGAAGTCATCAAATCTAAACAGCTTGAAGGATGTTTGGTACCAGAATAACAGGGAGAATTGGAAAAGCTAATGAAAAATCTCTAGGGAAAGCCTTTCAGAAAGACGTAAGTGCTGGATCTAGACAGGTACAAAGCGAATTCTAGTAGACAGCACACAGAGATAGGACTTAACTGTCTGAAGGGCTTCAAGATTACTGGTCCCACACAATATGAAGAGGAAATAATTAGGATAACCGCCCAGATGAAATGAAAGTGTCAACTGACTGGTCCTCGACAAAACTGGTAAGCCACAAAGGTGCAATAGATCCTTTAAAAAACTGGGAATACAACAAAAAAGATAAATGCAGTTACCTCTAAGGAATTGCCTAATAGATGCGCTCAACTTTGACCACGCTGTTGAATCTGATATTTGGGGTAGTACTTAACTACGTCAACTGAGTACATCTCGATATATAGTGACCGTCAGGAGCTAGGTGATTTCAAACCGATCACAATGACTTGTTGTTCTTTGATGCCTGTCAAGTATCAGAACAAAAAGACCTTGTGAGTCAGTCGGCTTTTCTTAGAACAGATGGATGTTTCAAAGCATGTATAACAGTCAATACAGTCGTAAAGGAACTGTAAAAAGGGCCACCAAGGTACTGTTTTCGTTTCGGATGTTTTTAAAGTCTTTTACTCAGTGTCAAGTAATATCATTGCTGAGATCGGGCAAATGTGTGAGACATCATCACTTCATAGGTCGGCTATGGAAGCACCGAATATAAGTATTAAAAACCGACGTATTAAACATGGGGATTACCTATCTCCTTTATTATTAGTCATATGTGCGAATAAAATTTCAAAATGCGTAAAGGATCAGTGGATCCCCTCATATGCACAGATAATATGATACTGTTCACCAAAACGGCGCCGTAGCTTCAGGGCATACTTGATACGTTCCGTAAGTTATTGGGTCGGGGAGCCCTATACATAAACCTCACCAAGCCATTAATCACATTCTTCAATAATGTTTGTTCATTTTCAAGTATGCGATTCTTATGTTTAGCTTTCCATCATATTCTCTGCTTTTCATCTTGTCAATCTCCCCTAATTGTTCTGTCATGGTGTTTTGTTGTAAGGTAGCCCAACCAAACACTTATGCCAAATATAGGCTATCTTGTTATGTCTGGAGTACTATCGGTCCTGCTTCTACCTAGCCCAGCCAGTTAAGTCCAGAACAGCCTCTGGTGTATGAATCATTGTATTTCAAACATACTGAGTTTATATACCAAACAGGTAGACCGCGTCGTACCAATAAAATAGAAAATAAGATTTGTACAAGATTCAGCCAGATGTGGCTGTGAATGTGAGAGGCAGTAATAAATAGACTAGGGATAACTCAAGAATGGTAAGTCGTATAACAATAGTTTATAGTTCAAAATGAAGCTCATGATAAGGGGGACATGAGTATAAATATTTTAGTTATTTAGCAATTATACGATAAAAAATATATGCATAATATTAGTCCATAAATGGATCCCAAAGTTACCATTCACTATTGTTATCGGGAAAACATATTTGCAATCAAGTTGATAAATTTAGTTCAACTCGACTTCTGTTTTCATAATTATGACATTTTAATACTTGTCTAATACAGTTATTTTAATGAGAAATGTATGGCGATTGTTTTTATGAATTTTTTCATTTTCTACTTTTCCTATAGTATGCGTATACCACCGGTTATTCGTACAATGTCTGAAGTCAAATCAAAGATTGAATTACTAGAAGCTTTATCTGATATTGAATTTGCTGTAAATATTTTGAAGAATAATCAATCATCTACTGAAAATATTATTGATGTAAATTATAAACGACTGAATTGTGACATTATACCTCTGCGATCAACTGATCCAATGTATTCGGTAAGAATTGCACACACATGTATATCGTACTGTTTTATGTATTTATTTTGCTTTCTCAGTTGTTTCAGTGAATGAGTAAATCAATTTATCTCACTCCTTTGGTTTATTTTACTGTAAAAGATATCGGAAACGAAAAAGTAATCCGGCGTATTCTTTCAAAATCTCGTTCCACAACTAGTAGTAGTTAATCGCTCAGGCATAATAGTGACGGATAATAATTTTATGCAAATTAAAGGTTATTTCTATCACAAACTGACGTAAAATGGTCTGGGTCTTGTGTAGGATGATTTGATGCAGCCTAGTGCTTCTTTATTTAAATTGTAGTTTTTACTAACAAAGTACTTTAAAATGGTGCAAAATCTTCACAAATCTACCTTAGTCAACAGATACCAGTTGAGTTATAGGAATGTCGTAAAACACACTGAAGGTTTAATAATAACCTTTATCACTAATTTCACTGTTATTACTTGTATGTATATTTAATTCGTTTATTTAATGCACACAAAATACAGTGCAACTGAGCGCCATAAATAGTATGCGCCACACTAAATAATATTTGTATATGGGCTGAGATACTTCTTCGGCCCCAAAGCTACAACAAGTGGAGTTTTCTTAGGGAACTACTTTCCGAGCAGTAGAACGTCATTGGATTCTGTCTAATGGTAGCCAACGGTCAGGAATATGTTCACACGCCATTCGTTTCTTTAGGATCGTAGAGCTCATGTTTTAATACCAGACTTTCTCAACTCCCTTAAGTAGACCATCTGTATCCACCAACCTGGCAACAAAAATATTGATATAGCTGAATAGACTATAGTAATCAGTTCACCAGTGACCTACTTCAAAGTGTTCCCTAGGTTCTGACTAAAAGTCGTGATTAACGGAGTTCAAACATATCGTGATTGTTAAATAGTTAGCAACGATGGCATTGTGTGGTCGTTGCGCTACATCGCGAATCGATATAAGTTAAAAATATGGGACAGTGGATCCGATCCAGTAGTTTAAATGATTAGGTGTTTACTGCTGGACCTGAATGTCTTGCGTGTGTTCTCTAGAGAGGTCTTTCTCACCGGTTTATGGGGATTCCCATAATAGAGCGAAACAACTGTCCTTTGGCTGCTTGATCTTCTATAATACTCCGAGATCAGTATGTGACGAATGCAATCTAGAAATATTAGTTTTTGATGTATTTTTTACAGTTGCTCACATGACTATTGTTCTTATGATAAATTAGCTTTGAATATTTTGGTAGAATACAACAAAGCATTGTGATCCCGAGAATTCTTTAAAAAAGTGAAACAGACAGTTGCTTAGTACTTAACTTGTTTGCCAGTAATAGTTATTTGACAAATCGCAAACAATATTGTGGAATTTCACATCCTTGTTGTCAACATCAATGTTGTAATATTTCAATATTTATTTTATCAGTTAAGAAAATTTCACGACTTATTAGCTCGGCTACCCAAGCTGATGTAGGTTAACTATGTTTCGTTGTAGCAGACAAACAAATGCTTTGATCATTAAATGGACTCCTCAGTCTTTTACCCAAATAAGATATAGTGTAGTCAGTTCTTAACTTCAATTAGTAGGTAAGTAAGTAGGCAGTGAAGTGTAAATTAAAATTTTATTCCTTGTACATACTATTCCTATCACTTTGACTGTTCATCGTTTGTCTAAATGTTATATATTTTTCTTGTCGAAGTTGTTAACCGATTACATGCATGAAACACATGGAACTACACATAATTGGTATACATTGGAAATATTAGATATATTTGAATGTCGAAAATCTACGGAACAAGAAGAATTCAAAGATTACGGGAATAGGTAATTTTAAAAAAAAACACTATTTTTCTCATTTAATTTTGAGTAAGATAGTTTTTTCTGACAGGATTGTGTGTATAGTATCTCATTGAATAAGAGTTACACTAACTCCTCTTTATTTTGTGAACACAACATGAAAATATCTCATGGAAACTGTTTGTTTGTAGAGACCTAACAGATATTTTATGAAATATGATATATATATATATAATCATTAATCTCATTGCCTTTATATAACCTCTGACGATTACTTCCCAACATATTAATACACATGGATCTTGACTATGTTTATTCATACACTTGATATCCCTATTCTTCTGATTGCTATGATTTTAGTTACGTTTTGAACATTCATGTAAACTGCACAAAATAAGTTATGCTAAAAAATTTGTCAAGAATTATATTTATCAGTATAGGGTTATGGAGATTGTTGAGTTTGAATTGATATTATTAATAGATGGATAATAGACCACTCTTGAAAACTTGGTAGCACTGGTCGGCCGTTTCGTCCTAGTATGGGACTCTTCGGCAGTGCTCATCCACGACTCCACACATGGGATTGGAACACAGGACCTTCTGTTTAGCGCGCAAACGCTTAACTTTTAGACCACTGAATCGATATCCAATGGTGTTAATCTGTAACTTCAACCAATTCACGATATTGCGTCCCATGCTAAAACGAGACGCCCGTCCAGTACTTTCCAGGTGTTGAAGTTGGACATTAACACCGTTGGGTACCGGCTCAATGATCTAAAAGTTGAGCGGTCGCTCGCGAGAGCGAAGGTCCTGGTTTCGAGTCCGGTTTGCGGGTTCGTGAACACGCACCGGTGCTTCCAGCTTTTCAATGGTGATCTAACATCCATTCATTCATGATATTAATTTAAATTATGTTTATATTAATGATCATAATTTTAGGTTGTATGTAGCTGACGAGAAACCATAAATATACCGATGAATTCATTTTATTTTGCGAACCTTGTTACTCTTAGTGTGTTTGAATTTATCAAGTGATCTGGTTGTACAATATTTATTTTATGCATACATTTCTCATTATAATTATAGGATGCTTCTTTGGCATGGAAGTCGTTTAACCAATTGGGTTGGCATTTTAGGCAGAGGTTTACAAATTGCTCCACCTGAAGCTCCATCTACTGGATATATGTTTGGAAAAGGTGTATATTTTGCTGATTGTTCATCGAAATCAGCCAATTATATTTATCCAACACAAGCTAACAATGTTGGACTCATGATTGTGTGTGAGGTAAATAACATATATATATATATATAATACTGTGCAACAGCTTGTTATTTTTTGATTCATGGCTGTGAAGCATGATTTTCAAAGGTTAAAAAAATTCTTAGGTTACTAGTATTCAATCAAAGAAATCATCCAAATATTAACCGCGTATAGTGGAACAAGAAATTGAGCTATTTTAATGTAGATTACTAAGTAAAGATATAATATTCTTCGATAATATTGAATTTTCATCAAGTGGGAGTAGCTGAAATGTATCTTGCATTTGATCGATCACTGCCTACCCGAACTCATAATCTTGACTGGGACAGAAATAGCTAAAAAAAAGGTAGACGCAACGAAACATATTCTTGTTGTTATTATTATTAGCTTTATTCAATATTATGTTTTTGGTACAGTATAGAGTTATCAGCACAAAGTATTTCAACAAGCTTCTGTTTCTTATTTCTTGATCGATCCTGACGATAAATTTTGAGTGGTCGCCAGTCACTAGTTAGCAGTCCAGTCAATTGACATCCAAACGATGTACATTCTTTTCGCTACATATTGTCAGCAACCACGATATCTCTGATTGGGCCTTTTGTAACTTGTACAATGAAGGGTTGTACACTTCTCGGAATAGCACCTGAATAGGTTATGCGACTAACAGACATTGACATATTACAATAAACAAAATTAGATAACATTTTGAAATATCGAAATGAAAGGAACAGTTAGCCCAGATGTTCAAGCAGGACGCCAGTTAGTTGATTTTATCCAGACTGTATTGAATTTTAAAAATTTTATTACTTATTTAAAAGTATCAATTACTTTGAATGTTTCCTATCCTTATTCAAAAATCAATCTCATTTTATTTTATCATTAAAATTACCAGTAATTTTTATCATTTGTTCTTTTTTTTGAAATCATCAAAGGTTTCATTAGGTAAACAAAAAGAATTATATCAATCATGTTCTTACGCTCATAAAAATCTCTCTGATTATCATAGTGTAAAAGGTGTTGGTAAATGGCGACCAAATCCTGAAACATGGAAAACTTTGTAAGATGTTTATTTGTGTTGTTTTCTGCCTCGATATATCTCATATATAAATAGATATATACTATTGTAATGTGGGTTTGTGGAGATTGTAGTAATATTGTTGATAGTTAAATTCATAAGTCGATCTAAGGTATAACATCATTAGAAACCTGGAAGCACTGGATAGCCGTTCCATCTTTCTGAGGAGTCCCGTATTATAATGAAACGGCCGTCCAGTGCTTTCAAATTTTCAATGACGGTCTAGCTTAAATAGACTCATGAATTGAGCTATTAAAAATATCTTTAACTCTATCATTTACAATATGATAAACATTTTCAAATTAGTACTAGTCCATCATGTGGCTAATACTGGTAAACTAATTAATTGATTTTTTCTTTTGTTGGTCAGTTTATTACACAATATAAACTATTGTTTAAACACGGAAAATCTACTGTGCTCAATTCTAGTTGTTTTGCTGGGTCTTAACCGTATTTCTCCAATGAAATAAACTATTCACTTTTGTCGTTAGTTTAATCAGTATGGCACATTTTGAAAGCATAGCAAATATGGCGCATTGATTGAAATCGTTGCCACATCACTTCAAAACAAAGAAATGAAAATATAAAAACTTATACCTGGAGTAGTTGAAATAGTGGCAGTATCATTTGTAGTACAGAACACTAGACATAGCGAAACTGGTTTGAGGAAATATAAATTCATAGAATAAAAGCGTCCAAAAGAATTTCGCAACTCAAAATATAAAGAAAGACAAAAATGGATGAGCCTGGAACATTACGTGAGATTGTGAGCAGTATCACTGTTGTTTCTTGTGATTAAGGTCCGGCACAGGCCTACAGTAATTACTAATTATTGAACGTTTTTAGCGTATTCTAGTTTGAATATTATCTATGACGGACTTGGTGGAACGGTGACAGCCACACAACAACACTCCAACGTTGATAAACTACACTCTAATACTCGATAGAAAAGATGGAAATTAAGATATTACCCTGTCCATGTCGGCTTTCTATGTACAGAACGTTGGATAGAACCATCATCTCCCCTACTAATCAGTATATCTAGAAGAGGAAGTTGGTTGTTGTTCTCTTCTCATGCATTTTCCTTCTATTGCGTTATTTTAACAAACGGTTCACATTTATCCCCCATAATTATGATGTCATCAACGTATCGTTTATACGGATACAACTTTTGAATTGAGTCTTCAGCTAGATTTTCAACATACCCCATAAACACATCAGCCAACGACAGTCCTAAAGGGCTACCCATAGCTACGCCATCGATTTGTCGAAAGTACTCACCCTCAAAAGTGAATTTTACATTGTCAGTACACAATAATAATAAATCTTTGAAAGTTCACATCAAAGGGGCGCATTGTTTTTCTTTATATTCATGTCCTTCAAGTATTTAATTAATTCAAGTGAGTCAATCAAAATTGATTTCGGATATGTTACGCATACATAGTTACTGCTTACGTTAATGTTTAGTGTTGGATGGAGCTATATCGACCGATCTAAGGATTATTGTCACTGCGAAGTTATTAATTTTTGGTCTGAGCCATATGGTTGATTGTAGTGCACATGGTTAAAGTTTTAGAGATAACCGTAATCAGCGATTAGTGACACTGTGTAATATGCCTTACAGTTGATCGCAGTGACCCAGAGACTTTCTCTCTTTATGTTTACCTTAGATCTTCAGTTCAAGTATCCCTTCTCACATTTACGGTCACTTTCGGATTGATCATGTATGATTGTTATTTTTCATTTTATGATATGATGCGGTCTGGTTTGCTTTTATATAAACTACGTATGTCTGAAGTATATTATTTTTAGAATGTAGGCTGAGATTGTGTTCTACTCTCAACGAGCAAGACTTGGCAAGAAGGACCAATAAAGATCCACAGTTGACACAAGACCGTTAATTCTGCTTTCACGTGTCATTGATTTGACACAAGAACAAGGCCATATAAATCAGCATTCAGGTTGACAATTTTATCGTGTTTTGATTAACAAAGGAAAAGTTATAACAGTTTACATATGATGGTTTTCAATATCTTTCAAACAATATTCTGTATATAGTTGAGACCAAGAGACAATTAGAGCTAAACCACCATGGAAAACTTGAAAGCAATAGACAGATCAGTGGTCTAGTGGTTAAGCGCTCGCGTGCGAGACTGATAGGTCCTGGGTTCAAATCTCACGAGGCTGGATCGTGAGTGCCCGCTGCCGAGGAGCCCCACAATAGGATGAAACGGTCGTTCAATGCTTCCAGGTTTTCCATGGTGGTCTAGCTTCAATTAACTCATGATCTCAACTATATAAAATTACTAAAATCTTCACAAAACATCCCTTCTGATAATATTCTGTATCATTTTATTATTATTATTTTTTCATTACAAATTCTTCTATTCATTTATAGAAATGATGGTGTTATAGTACCATGTGGTAAATTAATTCAAGCACCTCAAATGTATTTTACAATTTAATGAATACATTGTCTATTGTGTTAATCAAATACGTTTAAGATATTTATTAAAGGTGAAATTTAATTTTAATCAATAAAAGATCTTACTTTATTAAAGTATCCTATTTTAATTATTATTATTTTTGTTTACTTATTATTGATTGGAACCAATTTATTTTACGGATTATACTTTTGTTTATATATGTATAATAAGATCATTAAAACGTTTTTTTATATATTTATTTTGTATAATAAAAATTATAAACATAGAGACTTGATTCATGATTCATAAGACCACCAACTGGTTGGAGACTTTCAAATTCAATTCATAAATCTCCACGGGATATAACAATCAGATACATATGCGCCGCACAAATCTCATTCAATTTGTATAAGGGCTGTGATTCTGCTCAGGTGCCCAAACTGAAGCAGGTGGTTTTCTTAGGGGACCACATCTGGAGCCTTTGACCTAAAGGTTTGATGCACAAGGCAGTGGAGCATTGTAAAGAGATGTAGTCCCATGGTATCCGGTGACCGACTATTGATTCATACGCCGTTTGTTCCCTCTGGATCCCATTGATTTGGAATCAGAGTTTTCCAACTTCCCTAGGTGGATAGTGCGTGTCCACCAACCCGGTTAAAGCGCCGGACATTCGCTTTTCGTTCTCCCAATTTCGTAAACAACAGTAATGCCACGAGGAGGTAAGTAGTGAGTAGGACTTCTCTGACAGAGGCTATATATTCGCGTGGCCATGTGAGAGCATTTGAAGATGGAGAGCGGACTCCCCCGACTCTCGACCGTACCAGGGTATTTGGGGGCTGATTCATGATTGGGGATTCTATTTTCGGATCATCAGTTGGGATATATATTTTACCAAAGAAACTCACACTTTTTATTATATCCGTCTATTGATCATTTCGTACTTTATCGTCTGTAAAACTAGTGGCCTTCTGCGTACCAAAAACACAAATTATTGGTCTTCTAAATCGTTTCGACCTAGTGTCTAATCAGAAAATGAAGTTTGTAAGCAGATATATTCTATACATATGTAAGATAGGTTCCTAATCAAATGGCAGCATGAATAAGACATTACATTTCATCCAAACCAATACTATTAGTTAAAGAAAAAAAAGTGATTAATAGGTCTTGAATTAATGAATAATAACTTATGGGAAGGTAATGTCTACAACAATAGCTATTGAGCCAGACAAAAATGTACAAACGACAATATAAAAACACCAGTTCAAGTGTTTTATATTTATACAACCAAAATACAAACAGTAATGACATTTACTTATTCTGCAGTTCAGTTTTATTGGTTGGACAATATAATGAAGAGGTATTGTATTGATGTCTTTGAGTGAATCAGTCATAAATCATGCCCTTGTGGATTTTTGCATGAAAGATACCTTATATCTTAATATAAACTGGGTAGAAATTATCGATTTTTAAAATGCTTGAAACTAACAATATTATACAATCGAACTGTGAATGTGACACGGTGTTCAAACTAAATAATAGGAAACATATGTTCCTGATAGAGATAGTTGATGTCAGAATACTTGATCTAATTTAATGCATAATCAAGGGCGTTCGTGTTGCTAAACGGTTTAATCCCACTCTAACTTTCAGGCTCATCCTTAACTATCATAAGTTTTTGTAGTAAATGGTAGAAAAGGATCATTGGATAATAGTTGATTTCAGGTCGTGACGACCATAAATCACGACACTACCTCAACTCCTAATACGTAACCTCGACCTTTCTTTTCCTTGTTTTAATGAATAATTTAACATGTAAGGGTTAATTAATGTCGAAATTATCTAACGATTGTAATTTCATCTTCAATTGTCTTACAGTTAACCACTTTCCCTGGTTGACTGATAAATTGTTCAAGATCTTCAGTGTAATATACTTTTACTGATAAAAATGTTTACGTTTACACATTATGTGTAACTTTATAGTATTGTTGAAATATTTGTATATCAGTTGTGATTTGTATTCAACAATGTGTGCAAGATAAAGAAAAGTTTTGGTCACTTACCCAGATTAGTAGGGATAATAGATTTGCATACAGATTCTCCAAGAAATATCTACATTGTGGACCCGCTCGTTATGTTTACTATCAATTTATGTGCTTCAGAATGTTGCCATCAAACCGTATATTCACTTCATCGTTAACAATTCCAGCTTAAAAATCCTTTCTCTAGATTATTGCTGCCAAGCTTCAAGCCACATGTTGGAGCTGTACACGTTCGGCTGTTTAAGGTTTCCTCATCAGTAGAAAATCTAGAATTGCGTGTCCTTAAATGCACATGTGCAACCTAATTCAATTCACTTTCCTGTGTTTAGAGATCCATTAAGAACTCAGATATAACATTAAATTTGAAATCAGAACGAACAATGCTGACACTTCGTTCGCACACACAATATCCCGAAATATTGATAAAATTATTTAAGACTGAAACCAAAGTCGAACTTAGTAATTAGTAGAATTAACAATTTCACGTTATTAATCAAACATCTCCAACTATACAAACAGGAAACTAAACTGGTGCATTTTATTCAAGTCATTTTGTTATGCTTAATATTTCTAACTTAAAAGTATAATGTCAGTAAGTTGAAATTTGCATTTCGACAATATTAAAGTTTAAACGAAAAAACAAAGTAATCTGATGAATCTGTTAGATATTTCATGAATTTCTCTTCGGCTATGTACCAACTAATAAATGTATGTCGTTCAGAATATTAACATAAGTGGAATTTTAAGAAATGAATTGTTCGTTAGTAAGGAATAAGTTATTCAGAACGTAAATGAGGTTGGAATTGAAGGTTCAACGGAAATTTTATATATATTTTCCTACCTCAGTTCATAAAGAAGAATCATGCTGAATAGCACAAAAGAATGCTGGTTATGAAATATGTTTTTAACAAAATGATGTTCAGATTCCTGCGAAAATTAATTAAAAATCCAGAGGGAGTATTGAACAACAGGATCCTGCAAGCGAAATTGCTTTAATTGCACATAACATGATATTCAAAGGTAAACACAAACTTGTCATATCCCGCCACTAACATGTACTAGTTCGCAGTTATTCTCGAATGCAGATACATTGGAATTGTAAAAAAGCATGTATCTAGACGCATAATTGAGCATATTTGAAAGAATCTACTTATCCGAAGATAAAAGCCAGTTTTTGGAAGATCACTACTTGGGTACGGTTTACGCATTTATAGTGGTCAACTATGTACTTTTGTGATAAATATTGCTGTTTGAACGATATATTCGGATCCTAAGCTAGTCTTGTACCCCAAGCTAGAACTACACAGCGACTTGAACACGAGAGAAAAAAATATTCGGGAAGCACTTTACTTCAGAGGTTCATTTATGTACAGAAAATATATAGTTTTTATAGTATTTTAGTTCTTGGGTTTTCCTGAAAATTCTAGAATGCTACTAAACATAGTAGCAGTGTATTAATCAGCTAATCAGAAACTCTACATGTGACTTTCCATTTTCGCGATATTTCTAGCAAAACGTCTAATCAAACGCTGATTGAATAAAATGCTTCTTAGTGTTTCCTGAGCTTGTCATGTCTATTGCGAGAAATTTTCAGGATCGCTCTAAAATTTTGTCATAGCAATTCAAAGTCTTAAAATCAGCCTTAGCATTCAAAATAAATCCATTGTTAACCTATAACTATTTTAGCAACAGAACCGAACAGTATAGTTATTCGTATGTTGAACTAATTTTCATTTCCAATTAATTTAGATCGTAATTCTGAGGATTTAATTCAAAATATCTTCTCTGTTCTCCTACATTTTCGCTATATCGCGTGATCAAATTATCCCCAACATCCATAAAAACCTTGTTTATATTCCAAACGGCCTATTCTTTGTTGATGAATAGTACATTTCTTAAAATTTCAATTATGTTAATATTTTGGAAAAGAAAATTAACTTAATTAGATAGTGTGTACATGAAGGGAGAGTAATGAATTTACCATGGTTTGCAAATATTGCTTTATCCAGGTTTGTGAGTGAAAACAAATGCATAAAATTCTCAAAGTTCACAAAGGTGACCTTCTTTTTATAAGTGTATTTTAATCCAAAAATGTAAAAACTACCTGTAATCTTTCTCATATTATGAAACGTGTTTACTGTTAGTGATAAGTAGAATCCAGGCAGTGCTGAATATCTGAAACCTTCACTCAAGTTAGTTTTAACTAAAAATCATGGTTACGTTAAAATCAAGAGAAAAATGGATGAGTCAACAAACCAAACTGTGGTTTGAAAGTTTCTAAAACCTTAAAATTTTGTCGAAATTCGATATCGAGTCTTGGAATGTGACAATTATTTACCTGAATGGAGTCAAGCAGGAACGTCTGTATGTCTGATATTGAGAAATAGACTAAACTAAATTCTTCATCAAGAGACTGAGATTGATTGCTATTTCGCTTAACTAATCGTGTTTCGCCCTTCAGTAGAACTCACTGGATACTGTTGTTATTGAAGTTACTAAAATAACAACTACTTACTTAATATCAATCATTTTTCACGTGATAAGACACTTTGACCTCATTTCTGAACAATAAACTGGAGCATCAAATAGATCCGTTACCATAAAATGAAACATTTTGATGTGCTTGTTGTTTATGCTACTTATATCGATATAAATAGTACATAACACTTCAGAAGTGGGGTGCCTAACAGAAGGTTGGGAAGATCAAAGAGAACCGAAGGAAAGATTAGTTGTTGTGGCAATGAGAGAACGATTAATTTTGAGGCAATTGATGGGATATTCGCAAATGAAGTATTTTATGTATGATTCTTATATTTTGCCAAGATATTATGTAATTTTGTTTTAAAATATGATTGACTGACCTCAGCCTGTGTTCTTGTTCATTACATGCTTAAAGTTCTGGGTACAGGTATCGGAACCTCTACTCTTATTTGGTAGGTTAAAACCAATGCTAAAAAGATAGTTTCTCCCTGTCTCTTTGAGTTTTAATTACTAAACCAGGCACATTTTATTTCAACTTATTTGTAAAGTGCTAATAAGATTGTTAAAGTAGAGATGAAACGAAAAGGTCATCTAGTGTTTTTAAGTTTTGAATAGTAGTCTAACTTAGATCGGATCATGATTTCAATAAAAAAAAACGAGACATTTGTGACTAGGCAGTTGAGTTCATAGTGCATTTGTTAAAGTATTTTTCATATCTGATCTGAATCATTCCATAATAAAGGGTGGTAGTTGGAATCTAGAAATGGATAGTTCCTTAAAATTATATATGAAACTAAACACTAATTCATACATATGCTTAACTTCTTATATAATCTAGTTGCAGACTAAATATGCTTTTTTATGAATAATGTTATATCCCGATAACAATAGCGAATGGTAACTTTGGGATCCATTTATGGACCAATATTATGCATATATTTTTATCGTATAACTGCTGAATAACCAAACTGTTCAAGGATTCAGACCACAGAGACTGTTACTGGTGTTCTGAACTTAACTGGCTGGGCTAGGCAGAAAGCAGGACCGATACGTACTCTAGACTGCTCGTACGGTTTTCGTGTGTCACTGTACCAATCGATAATTCGCTGTTCTCTGATTGGCGGTCTTATCACGTCATACATTAACTAGGCATCCACTCGGTCACAAGATATAACAAATAAATAAACAGACATATTATTAAATTAATAAATAATTATATTTACAATAGAAAAAGCATACTATTTATCAACTATAAGACAAATGTTCGTCGACTTCGACCAATTTCTGTTCGTTTACGAACCCATTCATAATTACCATATTGACTGTCAAATGTGCCTAATTGAATTGAACGTAATTTCAATGTGAATTTTGGTCCAACTTCATTCATTGTGATATTTTCAGTGTTATGTTTACCTTCATTTTTATTCTCATCATCATCATCATCATTATGAGCATTAGTTGTATTACGATGTATATAACGATAATGACGAAAAAAGATATAATCTCTTTGATTATGAAAAACAATTGTTCTACTATGTGGTTGTGGTGGTAAACGACTTTCATTAGGAAATAATGAACTTAAAATACGTTCAGTACGTAGACCAAGACGTGTCATAAAACGTGTAGTAATCAAGTGTGGTATTACATTCGATTCAATATATTTAACTTTTTTAGCAGAACGCATTTCACGACGAAGTAATACATTAGTTAAACGAAATGTAGCTGTTGGTCCATTTGGTAAATGACTAACTACTAAAGTATTAATTTTTTTCTGATCTTCATTAACAATTATTAAACAAGTGAATTGACGTTCAATAGCCATGGGAATAATTTTTTTAAGAGGTAAATGCCAACGTGCAACAAGTTGAACATTTGGAATAACCTAATAATTAATATATAAAATTATAAATAATGTTAGTTAAAATAAAATGTAAGAGATTTTCTAAAAAAATTTATCTATATATCAGATTGCTTGAAGACAATATGCCTTTCAGTAGATTTTGTAACTATGAGTACTTACAAGCAATGTCTATCGGTGAACTTACATGCGTCTGTTACCTCACACGGCGGAACATAGGCCGCCCGCCAGCATTCTCCATTCAACCCTGTCCTGGGCAAACTTTTCTAACTGTTTCTAGTTTCCATTCATGTCTGTTTTTCATTCCCGACGCATGGTGTTCTTTAGCCTTCCTCTTTTTCGTCTCCCTTCAGGATTCCAAGTTAGCGCTTGCCTCGTGATGCAGTTTAGTGATTTCCGTAATGTATGTCCTATCCATTTACGAAGTCTTTTTCTAATTTCCTCTTCAGATGGAAGCTGGTTTGTTCTCTCTCACAGTAGGCTGTTGCTGATGGTATTAAGCTAATTGACATTCAGTATCTTGCGTAGACAATTGTTTATAAATACTTGTGAATTTTTGATAATGGCTGTAGTCGTTCTTTAAGCTTCAGCTCCGTACAGTTCTACTGCACGGAGCTGTATAGTGATCTTATGGGATTTTTTAACTGAATGTAGGATAAGTTATTTAGACTACAAATAATTTTCTCTAAGTTCGTAATCTGAAGAGAAAACTGCTAGCTACATCAACATTCAGTATTCAATAAGACCAATTTTTATAGATAAGAGATCATTATAATTGGATGGCTTCCCATTGGTGTTAGACTGTGTTTAATACTCATAAATAGTTTATAATGCCTTATAAAAGTTTAGCACAGATGTGTGTACTCAACACCTATATATTTTTTTGGTGAGAAATAATGGGTACTACCAAACTACTGAAATCGAAGTAGATGAAACGTCGTTTGGGTTTATAATTTAGTGATTGAAAGTCATATAGACTAACCAATAATTTACTTTTCAAATTTATCAAAGATTTAGCACAGTACGTTAAAAAACAAAATGCATATACGCTAACTGATGCAGATGCATTCAGTGTCTATCTCCTCTAGCTTTTGACCTTTAATGTTCCTTCATGTATACCTTCTTTTTGAATCTCAGTCTCTAATTTTTATTCTTTCTCACTATCATTGATAACGCTATTTCTTTCAACTTATTGGTCATACATGTTGTTAAATTCATTTCATCCCAATGCAGCACAGAAACTTGGCCCAAATCGCGCGTTATGACTAGTTTAGAATACATTTAACCTGCGGAACTTTATTTCACTGATCTCAATCTCACGAACAGAAAAAATATATACATGTATAAACAAGAAAAATTTATATCCCACTTTACAGCTTTTTTTACTGATATTTAGGTGCCTATCAATCCCCCCCTTAATGTGTAAAATGTTGCTTCATAATTGATCTACGTCAAGACAGCAGTACGTTGATTTAATATCTGTCTGTAAAACGTGACTTTCAAAAGTAGAACCACAAAACTACTCGTGCTTGGTGGGGCAAATAAGTGAGCAATGTTAATTTTAAACATATATCACAGGGTACAGATACAATAATAATTGATGAAAATAAATACGCATCGAATGTGGTGGCTGGGATAGGTTTTACATATCCTTAGCTACTGGTAAGAATTAGTATAAGCGCACAAAACCACTGATTACTAGTCAGTCATCATCAATGTAGAGCCTGGTCAAAGTTCCCACACCATATTAGACGTGTTGGCAGGTGCACACTATTTGGTTGGCGTCCGACCAATCGACATAATCAGTGATTACAGGCGTTGATTGGCATGCTTTAGAACCCTTACGTGGTGCATGTATTTATTTTCTGTCTATTGCCAAATCCTGAGTTTCAAAATTATTTAGAACTTTCATTACGCAAATTCATCCCTTCTTATTGAACTATATTCTCTATTTATGTTTTTATATTGCACATGCTATTTTCACTGCCTTGCGATTCATTTCGTTAGTTTCATTTTGGCATGCTGATATGGTGTTAAAACTGACACAAATTTGTTTCATGTTCTAAGTTTCTTATGACTAACTAACCGACTATAAATTTATAGGCTGTTAAAATCAATAAAGTTACTCAGTTTTAAACTGAAATTCAGAAATAAAAAGCACTGAAGTTGGGTTACTCATTAATGCACATGTATCTTCATGATGACCGATAAAAATGCAAGACTAAAAGTAGTTTTATTTACTCTTCTTTTCCTAAAATGTTGACAACTAATAAAGTTTAAAACTTAAATGTAAAAATTTCACAATGTAGAGCAATACTTACCATACTTAATTCTTTACAGAACCCGATTGTCCTAGGACAAACACGATCAGAATGAGTCAACAAAATTTTAGGTGTAATTTCTCCATTAAAAATAGATGAAAACTCATCCTAGATTAGAGAAACTTAAGTATTTATTTCATGCAACATACTGTTTCATGTTCAATGACAACTTCTTCATCATCTTTAGGAACGATCGTTTCATCAACTGTTCTAAGTGATTCGAGAGTTTGAGGAATTCCTGCCGGCGCACCACTTTCTTTTCGTTGTTTACGCTTGATTCTACGTTCTTTCGCTTTTTGGATTCTTTCCTTGTGTATTATATCTCTAAGATGATGACGTGTAGTTTCTTTACGAATTGGCATGTTCAAAAAATTTAATTTATTCAAAATTTATACGTAGTCAATCACTTAGTGTTTTCTGGATGGATATACAGTTTAAAAACAGCCGAAAGCTATAAACATAGAACGATCTAAGAAAAAACATACAGAAAATGGAAGAAAGTTGGATTTTACGGTGGTATGGAACTTTATAGAAAGAGACTGAGAAGCAAGGTTAAATCCTCTAATTGTTAAAGCAATCGTAAAATGCACGTGCTATAGTTTCTCTTATTACGACCGAGCTATTCCTATTGCTTAGTATTTCTTGGATACTAATTCACTTGAAAAGTTCTCAAACCAGAACACGTTTGAACATGAAAGAAATTATATTCTGAATAACAAGGGTTGATGGAAGTAAGAAGCACAATAAGAGATACGTTGGTATACTTATAGTTTTTACACGAGAAGATTCTAATCTTCTCCAAGTAACGGCTAGTGCTGATTGGATAAGGATTAGCTAATCAGCGTGTGCCAACGCAATCATGCACAGAACACGATTTAATCTAATCTATGTTCTGCTAACAGTGGATGTTATCAAACCAAAAATTGTTTGAAATGGCATGAATCAATGAAAACAAATTCTGCAAAAATCAACTATCCAGTTGTCATAATTTGAAGATCATGTTTATAACGAACCAATATAACACGGAGGGCGAACAACGAAATGGCACTAGTCCGTCATTTCGTATGAGACTGAAAGACTTTGGCAATTCAAACACGAAACTTCATATGAAATAGTTCCTAAGACCTTAAAGTATGATGATGATAATAGTGGCGCGTTCAGGTACTGAGGAATTTAACGCACTACATTTTCAAAATCTAACCAACTAGCAATATAATTTGAATATTGCCCATTGTCTTTGATAGTGATTTGCTTCATGTACGAATGGACTGAGTGATTATGAATTTTTATCTTAAAAGAAGTTATTAGTGATTAGTTTATGTTGCTTGGGTAAGTTCTAGGACACTAGTTGCCAGTGATTACCTATAGCATCTATTTTCAAAAGTTCTAATGAGGTTGATAGAAAAAGCCGAAGCTAAGACGCATTATCGATAACAGATTATGAAATTAGTTTTGGAAACGTGGACCTTTGATTTATGATAAGTGGCGAAATAATAAAGCTATAACTGCGAGACCTGAAGGTCTAAGTATTGATTCCCGTGTATACACTACTAATGACTGCAGTGTCTGGAATTTGTGAACAGATTCGAGGGCTGCTCTATCTTTGGCTTGAGCACTAAAGTAGTAATATTAGCTAGCCATTCGACACTAGGCAAGTTTTGATGGACTCTTATCCTTCTTTTATCTCGAGTCGTTACCCATTGCAGCACCAACCAGGATTATTGGAGATATTATGGGAAAGGATAAAAGTGCGATTTTGAAGCGCACTTAACCAACAATCATTATCCGAATGTATGCAGTAGTCAGTTCAATATTTTGGCGAAGCCAAGTAACACAGAACTTATTAATCCTTTTAGGGAATAACAACGAATTCCTCACCTGCTTAGAAATGGCAGATATCTTTATTGCCTACTTCGCTACACAAAGCAGAAATTCAAGCAGACGATACAACCACATGACTCCTCGAATGATATTACTGAGTATATACAAGAGCAACAAGTGACCGCATTAGTACTAGACAAAGGTATAAGGAAAAACCACTTAATTCAAGGTACAGTATAACAAAGATCGAAGTCGGATACGTCATCAGGCTGTCACAATATACGTGCTGTGGTTCTAAAACAGTGGGCTGAGGCAATTTGCACACCAGTACTCAATCTTTTTAGAACCTAATATCCCACCGATCTCTGGGGGTATGAACGCACGCCATTTCATATCTAGTCTTTAAAAGTGGAGAAACTCCAACCTGCGATTAAAAGGTCGCAAAATTCCCCATAATCTACATAATTTTGAAAGGCCAACCCAATGAACAGGAAGGAATTTGTGGGGAAAAATCGTTAATAAACAAAATACGGAGTAAGGAAAGGTAGGTTTTCTCCATCTAATCTCCAAACATGGGCTAGCTAGATAACCTTCAGGAGCTAGAGAGTAGTTCAAACTACTCAGTCTTCAGTAATAAGGATAGAAGGTCTAGTGACCTATTTTAATCCTTGCAGTTTGTTACACTGTGGAGGTCCAATCTCGTCTTGAATATATCAACAGAAGGTGCTGATATTACGTGTTCTGGTAGTCCAAACTACTCACTACTGGCATCACTGTCTTTTCTGTCGAGTAGTGCGTGACTAGGTGTTACTGAACACAAACATGAAGTAAAAATGTGCATAACATATCCATTAAATTCTAGAGCTTACAGAACGTGGGAAACAGCCTTCGACGAACAATTTCAAATATGTGCCCAAGGACATCCATTCAAACCTCAAACCCCAGCCATCCTATCATGGAAATACTAGACTTTTTGTTTTTTAAACATATATCTGGGTCACAAAGGGCGTTTTTCATGTGTAAAAAGCTTCTGTTCAAAGTAGAAGAGATCGACTTCAGTAAGATTGGTCATAAATAATGTTTTTTCGGTGTCCTGCCCTTTAAGTAGCAGCGGCAAGGAAACGCCTATAGACCCAAGTAGTAAGATCAAATCCACTTACAGTAGGAAGAAATTTGATTGCTACTCCAGTGAAAACTAAATACCGGATGCAAATCAAGAACAATAAGCAACTTAGTGTCGTTTATTAAAAGCCAGTATCCCATACAGTAGCTGAGAAATCGAAGGCTAAGAATATTTATAGGTCAGTCATCTTTCACAGACTCAAAGACAGTGAAAGCTCTGCGTCTAAAAATTGTACCGATGCTCAAAAATGTTCACTACATTTGACCTCCTCTAAGTGTCACATGTTAAATGTCAACATTCTCGGTGATTATATGCTCAGCTTCGAGAATCGTGTAGCTAGGAAGCAATGGCACCATAAGCCTAACCAGTGCGGTTGTCGAAGTTTTGGAAAAAATATTAGGAAGGCATTGTCTAAGTATGTGGACGAAAACTGGGTCTTTTCTTACGAGCGGCACGGAATTAGAATAATTTATTTATGTCTCACAAAATAACTTGTAGCCCGTGAAAGTTGGTTCATTCTAAAATATCAAAAGCCGCTTAAAGACACAGCCTTCACTGAGTAATGATCATTAACATGTGTCAGGTCTTTATTAGTGCAGGTTGAATTCTGTCGCCCAAGTCGCGATACGGCCACTAGTCTAGGTGACCCAATATTGCGCACATTACGTTGAAATGAGATGTTAGTTGAAGGTAGCCGATAGATGACGTCCCATAATAGGACGAAACGGCAGTTCAGTGCTTCCAGGTTTTCCATGGTGGTCTAGCTTAAATCGACTCATGCTTTCAACTATGAAAATACTAAATCCCCACAAAACCTTTTCTGATATTACTTTTGCTCCATTTTATACTGGATAACTCAGATCAATCTGAACTACTCATATTTTTGCCTGCATGGCTTATCAAGAACGCCTTTCTCAGTGATTTTGACCACTGCTTTGAGTCCAAAACTTCCTACGTTACCTAAAGTGTTGTTTCTCATATGAAAAGTATATTTATTTTCTCTTATCTCGGACTCCATCAAATATGAGTTGAACTATTCCTGCAAATCTAACCATATTTCGGTCGACACTCTTCAAAATGTTGGATACGTTTATTCTCTATCAATTGGTTTGTTTTGATCAATTTCATTCTTAACCAGGTGACGACATGCCTGGCCTATATAACCAGTGGAATTCAGCTTGCAGTCCAAATCTAAAGGAACAGGTGTGTTCCTGAACGCATAAATAACCCATAAAACTACCAAAATCGTTCAAATCACTCCCAAAGTAACCATCGTTACGGTTTAGCGTTACAAGAATTCTCATGGAAACTGCCTGTGATCTGTCAAATCTCTATCAGTGTATTTGTCTAGTTTCAGTATAGTCTTCAGAGTGCTGTGAGAAAGCATTTATAATACTGGCAACGGCATTTGTACGAACGCACGTTATTTAAAAAGGACAGTGATATTTTTCCTCTGGGTGAAGCGTTGATCGTTTAATTACGCATCAAGACTACTGTCATTGCTTTAACTGAAATAAATTCAATTAAAGCAATCCCCTGGGTTACCGTTTTTTCTAGAGAAGTATCATCTGCACCTTTAGAGCACAGGCAAAGAAATACTAAGGGCACTAGTATTTATTTTTCGTCGTTCAGTATATCCTTAAGTATTTTTTCATCCATAGGTGTTAAGGTAATTTTGTAGATACCGAAGTTTAATTCTTTCAGTGTTTTTTATTGTTATCCGGTACAGTTATATACGAACTTCTGTGCTTGTTTGTGTGTCTATCATCTATCACGATTTAAAAGACACTATACAGAGATCACTTTTCGCTGTCGTTCTTCCTGTGAGATTACAAAACACATTTATGGGGCAAATAAAACATCGTTGTGATAGACCGACATGACATTTCCAGGTCAATGATGGAATGCAGTGTGACAACTGCAATAAGTGCTGTGACAGTGTGTACTGGACTCACACCGGCTGCATATAAAGGGTGCTGCAAGCCATTATCATGTTGGCTGTGCAAAGCATACTGTTCTACGTACTCTCTGCTGATTCTAGAGGCAATTGAACTGCTGAAAATTGCTACAAAATTGCCCTTAGATAAACAGGCAGCAGTAGATGAGCGGAATCCCGCTTTCGATAAATTGAGAGCGTTATCATGAGCCCAGTTTTGAACTTCAGTGAGACCATCAAGGTGGACCTCTTAAAGTAGCAGATAACAAGCACACAAACGTAGGGATTGTTACAAGGAAAAATAAAAAGCACTATGAAAAGAAACAAGTTATAGCAGCACGAAGATGTGTGAATCTACGATTTCAGTTCCGGATTTACATATAAACGCAAAACAAAATTTGGGGGAGATAAGTCTGAGCTGTGTAGAGGATGTGATCAAGAGACAAAAATAAGGTAAATAAGTGGCTCAGAGTCACACGCAG